GGTGCTCTCAGGCTTCTACAGGTATTTAGCAAACACACAGGCATGGCACGGCATGGCTGTATACTGAGATTTGTACCTTATTTTATGTTCATTAAGTGTTAAGTAAATGTTCTCGTGAACTAAAATTCAGCTGATATTTAAGCTCACTGAAAATGTTTTATTCTACCTGTAGTCATAATAACTTTATCAACTAAAAAGCAATTTGTTCTGTTAAATGGCCCAACAAGAGCCCATCAACTTCTGCCACGTTGCTGAGCCACTCTGCAGTGCTATCCTTTTTGGAAAAAGTATAGGGACTGTATTGCAATCAATACCGAGCGATCCTGCAACTTTTGTTTTCGTACTGCCTCTCTGCACTCTCTAATGACTCTCATGTTATCATCATCGTGCTCTCAGGAAGTTGAAATGTCAGGGCTAATTAATTAAGATGGTTTGTCTTCTCTTATTAATCCCTTAAGTACTGAGAACCCATTCCCCTTTAATCAGAAGCAGCTGTGACTGACATTGCACAAGAGACGGAAAACCAACATTTTACTCCCAGGCACTTCCTATGACTGCCTTTCTGAAACAATAATGAGAGTAACTGTTGCTGTGATTCCAGTAATAACGTTAAAAGGTGTCACTACAATTTCACCTCCCGAAACTCCATCCAAATGATGCGGGAATGTATCTGTGACAGCCTATCATGCACAATGTTGCTCATGAAATTGCTGCTTTCCGCATGTGAAGATACTTTGAGTCTTTATTTTTGACTCTACCTAGATGCCAGAAATTTACTGAAGAACCAAGTCCTTGCCTTTTAACCATGTCAGCATTGCTATTCTCTCATTTTTTTTTACTGAAGTGCCTCTTTTGTTAGATCTTCGTTTTGCTTTCTAATGCATATATCAAACAAAGTAGCCTATTTCCCATAAGGAGATTATAATTCACTTGTACTTATTTCCTAAAGGGAAATAGTATAGGAAAAAAATTAAGTATTTAGTATTTGCATACCAGTTCAACACATTAATTTTTAAAAATTTAAATACATTGGGTTTGTTTATAAAATGACCATTAAAAAAAAATAGTGTTACCTAAACTATATCCATATTATTGAAATAGTTTTGATCATTGAATTGACCTGTTCTAAGCTTGCTATTTACTGCAAATATCCATCACGGACTAGAACCTGAGAGTTGGTTTTCAGCCTGTAGAACCACGCTGTGGATAGTGACTAGCACCTTTCTTTACATTAACCAAGGTCTAGAGGTTCACCAGCTCCGCAGCTGGAGAGTTTTTTGCATGCCTGACTTCCCGAGCGCTGGGCTACAACTGATTATCTGAATCCTCTTCTAAATGCCCAAATTAATTTTTTCAAGCTTTGGACAATTTCTTCAAAGTGGATTTACCTCCTGGGGTAAGAGTATACAAGCTTCTGTGCCTATGAGTTACAGCTGAAGAGATGCTGGGTCAGCTCCACATAAAGTTCATTCCACACGATTTAAGAGCGAGACAAACAGCACTTTGCTAATGAGAGCAGGACAGAGCCTGAAATGAATCTCTCAGACAATTCTTGATATAGCTGATTAACACCTTTTAGTTCAATCTCCCTAACAAACATGGTACTCAATATGCATTTTACTACATTTACATAAAATGCACTGAAATCACAGAATTCTTGAAAAAATTATAAAAAATACATTTTGAATGAAGTATCTTCCTTTTTTCCTCCCCAGGCATTCTGGTTAGTAAAAAGAACTATTTGCTAGTATAATTCACATCTACTGCACAGTTACAGTTATGACCAACAGAACACGATGCCATGGTTTAAAAATATGTTGCTCTATGTTTGATTTACTAGTCACACCTTGAAATGAGCTAACAATGGGTTTACAGCCCATCCGCTACCCATGCACACAAATACTCCTCCTTTAAATCTGAATTATTACAGGATGCTTTTCCTTACCTTCTGCAACAGCCATGGGCAGGGGTGCCTCATTCAATACAGAAAAGCAGGCTACAATCTATTTTAACTTCTGTTGTCTCAGTAACAACTTTATTTGAAACAACAGGAACAGCGGTAAATAGACTTTGCAAGTTGTGTTTATCAAGTAAACTAATTTGCTATTAATTTTACCAATTCATCAGGAATTTTAAAATTTCCAGTTACGTATTTTTAGGTAATAAAATGTGTTGCTTCCAGTAGACTAACACAGTTATGTATCATTATTTGCTGTGCTATTGCTGTAGTATCCTTAGCACGTGTGATGCTTTGCAGGCATAAAGATGACTTGGTTCTTGTTCCCAGCAGACGATTTACAGTCCGGAAGCTGGGATACGCAAGAGGTACGCAGAGCTCTGCTCCTGCAGGGCCTCCCTGATTTATAAGACAAATTCTGTTCAGGAGATGCACCCTCTCTGGATATTGAACATTGCTTGCGTTGATAATGATACATAAGAAATTATTCTGCTGGAGAGGGAAGAAGAAGAAAGGAAACAAGAGGAAAGGAAACTGCTATTTTTACTTCAGCCACTGTGTTTTCTGGTTATTGTTAAACTACATGAGCTCTATTCCACCAGTTTGGTTTTCCTCTTCAAAGGAGTCTGAAAACCAGCAGAAGTTAGAGAAAATTACATCAGGACAAGGACATGGTTCCCTGTATCTCCTCATAAGTAAAAACGATTCTCATTTCCTCTCCTCGTCTCCTGGTAGCCAAGAGGCAACCTGAAGATATAGCCACTCTTTTTTTGGCACGGAAGCAACGATGATGCACTTGCTTCCTATGTATAAAAGATCTTTTGTTTGTGACCCAGGAAGGAGGAGAGGGTTTTGCATATTTCCAGCATGGTCAATTGAGTTTAAGCGATTTCTTTTTAGTCCTAACCACTAAAAATTGTGTAGCGGCATCCCCCTTGCGACTGGCATGCTTTATCCATAGGGATCATTTTATCTGGAACGGGAGTAAAACGTCACTTCTTACGCAGAGCTTGAAACTGCTGCCGGCAGCAAGGAAGGCTTCACCCGCCGAGCTGCAAGTCTCTCACCATCGTATTACTTACACGGCTTGATAATTGACTACTTGGAACAGCTTTTGTAAAACCTGCAAAAATATACAGAATTGTTTTATTTACAAAGTCTGTCTGTGTTGTCATCCAAAAGGAAGGTAAGCATTTTAGACACACAATTCCCACATGTAGCAATGTTCCTGTAACAGCACTTCTTGGTATTTTTGTTCCGCTCATTTGGAAGTTGACCCTCTTTCAGCAGGCGACTGGATCAGATGACCTGCAGAGGTCTCGGCCTAAATAAGTCTGTATTTCTATAATTTATCCTATTGAAATGTTCTGCAAGTATTCTTTTTATTAAAAGAAACAGGACATCAGAAAACTCAAAACTTTACACCAAGCAGTTGCTGGAGTTACGAGGATACGTATTTCTCCTTCGGTATGCATTTTATTGCTTGGAGAATATTTCATATTTTTTCCAATATATTCATTTTTCTTGTTTTCTACTGTATTTTTGTTCATGGTGTAATCTCCTCAGTTGCTAGCATTTGACAGTCAGCTACTAAAAATGTGGTGTAATTTTAAATACGCATTTATGTTTTAGTCGCTGAACCCCAGTTTTACCCCAGTAGACTCGCAACTTCTCCTACCTATCATTTTGGTTTATCAAACCAGTGGTTTTAAAAGCTGTTCCAGCTAACACTTGTGCCTAAGTTACAACAGCTGCAGGAGGACTTCCTATTTTCTACATATAAAGACTTTCATAACATCAAATCAGGTTTAGATGATAAACTACATCAACTCCAACATTGCGTATGTGTGGCATAAAGATATTTTACATCTATTTGCACAAATTAGTAAGTATGTCTCACCTCAGTGCAACATTTTTAATAATGCAGAACCAACCGCACCACAAGACATATTGATGTAATATTAAGCACTGGATTTAAATTCACAGAAGGAGGACTGCTGACAATGCAAGTCAAAGTTCCAATCATTTATCTGCACATTTTGATATTGCACGAGCTTTCGAGGAGGGAATAAATGGGTTATATAAGTCAGGTGCAGGCTGATTCAAAGATGCTTTGTCAGGATAAATTTTAGAATTAAAACAGAGTGATGGAAAACAGAGCAAAACCAGAGTCTGACACCTCTCACTGCTTGAGAATTTATGCCAAACTTCTATTGTTGTATGTACTGGAGTTTTGTGCAATTTGATAAAAGGAATAGTATCTATTTTCTCTTATGCTTACTTAATATATACTATTTGTTGCATAACAAATTTCAAGAATTGTCAAAGCACAGCAGGACAGCTACCATCTACGTGTCTCCACATATGATGGACAGGACGGCTACAAGTGCCTCTTATAAAGGCTTCCCAATCCCTCCCATTATGAGACTGTGCTTTACCGTACTCACAGCTACCCAGTCTTGAGGTTTGAACTCAATTTCCTACCTCAAGTGTCATTTGTACCTCACCTATTGCTGTGTGGAAAGGTTAATCCAGAACAGCTCGATCACTCCATGGATAAGACTATGGAAAAGCATAGACTTCAGCGTAATACAGCTACCTAAAGAAGAAAAAGTTAAGGTTGGAAAGGCAACATTAAATTTAAATATTTGGCCAAGAAAAATTGAAGTCGTCATTACAATTGTAGAGTCAAGCAGCCAAGTTAGGAAATGCCAGAATTAGAGGCAAATACCTCCCTCTAAGCGCAAAAGAGCGTGCACTGTTTCACATGAGACACTCACAACAATGATGGCAGGTAACAGCAACATGGCTTTGGAAGCATAGTTTCAAAATCTCCCACTGAAAAACACTAAGATACAGGCTTCTAAGAAACTTAGGGAAATGAAACTGGGGATATTCTGCTCCAAGTCAGTCTCTAGAAATTTCAGGCTAGTCAGCCACTTAATACTAAATTTACAATGGCAATTGTCAAAGTAGAAATAAAGCAAATACCCATGTCCAGAAAACAAAAATAAAACGCATAAAAGTTTCAGGTTTTTTAATCTTTTTTTTTTTTTATTTAGAAGTAAAATAAAAGGTGACATTTCCATCTAGAAGCCACTGACATATGCTGTGGTAAATTCAAACACGGAGAGGTGGTTTTAGCTTTCAGATTCCTCCCAAATCCAGCTTCTTCCTCTTGCACTGGAGCCTTGCACAAGCTCTGATGTGCCTGAGGACACATCTGTTTAAGGCAGCCGCTGGAGTTCAAGCTTATCTGCAGATGGTGCTTCAAAGACATCATCTTCCACACTTTCTTCTATTGGCTTCATTTTTGCTGAAGTTCTCAGGTAGGGAGATGTCCGGCCTGGGCCTGCCACAGTTACAAAGAAATTACCAATTAATTTAACAACACATACCTGCTGCATACACCTATCTGTGACAAAGCGTACACAATCTGGTGATTCTATCCTAGTTCCCTCATGAGAGGATTTTATAAATGAAGGTTTCTTTGTTATTTGGCCACAGGCATCAGGAAATCCTAGACGTGGGACAGCAACGCTGCTATCAACCGGCAATGCCTCCGAGGTTCAAACCCTGCACCAGCCACAGTAGTCTCCTCAAATTCAGTGCAAGTCCTGACTGCGTGAGGTGCCCAACGCCGTGTCCCGGGCGATCGTTTTCTCACCGTTACACTCACCCACTAGTTCTTCTCCACAAACGACGATATGAATAGTTAAATACAAGAGGTATATATATTTGCACACTTGCCTCGGCTGTGAAAAAATTCCTCGGTGTCCTGGGCAAACCTCAGGTGGGTACATGATCACAGCCCTAACAGCCTTAAAAGCATGATAATGTAGAATTTATGGAAAATATAATACCGCCATAAACAACCGTAGAGAAAACAAGATTAACAAGTGAAGGCCATATAACTTTTGGCTGACGGTTATTTCATTGCTCCAGGACAATCTTTTAGAAAAGCAGCAACTCATAGAGCTTGCCAGAGCAGAGTGCACACCACAGCCATTGCTGGTAAGACATTAAATGGAGTTTTTTGTGCAAGTTACCGCTGCAAATTACCTCTATTGTAGTTAAATTTTCAGCATGAGGGTTAAACCAGAGAGCTCCTTTGACATCAGCTGAACACGTTTACTTCTCATTGTCCACTCTGAAATTGCATCTGCACTTTTTTTTTTCTCTCAGTACCCTCTTCTAGAGTTAAACCACCCCAATGGTACAAGGTTGTAAACAGCTACAATATGATGACCAAAAAGAGTAGGGAAATCTTTGAAATACCTTTTTAGAAGAAAAGAGCAAGAGGTCATGGTCCTGTCTGACAGATCGTCTGTATACAAGCTAAAAATTCAAATTTTCTTGAAAAAATACTGATAGCCATAACATACTCTTATTGCAAGGGCTATTCTTATTACTTTAAAAAAAGTTTATCAGATATACAGTAAAGTGCTCTGCTAAGGAAGCTTATTTATGAAGAAGGACTCCTTTGTGCTGCATATGTTACACATAGAGAACAAAATACAGCTACAGGCAAGACCAGCGGGTTATCATATTACTGCACTTTTAAGTCGCATTCACACAAATGCTGTTAGGAATTAGCTTTTTAGAACTTTTAACGTTAAAAATGTATTAGTATTTTCTTTTAACATTCAAAAGCTACCACGATAAAGGGTTATTCGCACACACTTTTAAATACTGGAATTGTTAAGCACTTCTTTTTTATTACTTTATTACTAGCTTACTACTATTTTTAGACTCTCTTGTTTAAAAGTGCTTTGTTCTCTCCAGAAATCAGCAATAAGAAGCCATAAGTCTGTTGAATAGGATCCAATATTGAGTCTAATACCATCAAGTTGTTTTGTTCAGAGACATGCCCTTTTCTCCAAATACAAAAAAATTTGTCTGCTGATGCCTCCATCCACTGTTGGACAAGATATTCAAGAGACTGAGCCAGACCTTGAACCCAGGCCTTCCATGCACTACTCTGTTGGCCCCGCTCGAGGGCCTAAGCCCAAATGCCTATTAAAATGGCATTTCCCATGAAACCTAATCCTGCTTTTAACCACAAGCTGAGTATAAAACGGGGAGCACACATAATGAGATATCAATAAAAGCATTATCAAATCAAAGATTTTCTACATTCCT